GGCCCAGTTGTCTTAAAAGAGAACACGTTTTTAAGGCACTGGCTACAATTACCAGCAAAAGGTAACAATAAGAAACTAGAGGCTCTCAAGAGCCTGTGTCGCTCACCTGCATTTGACCTGTATTTACTGATGCTTTGGAAATCATGTAAAATAAGGTTAAAATCATAATTAATAGTATTAGATATTAGATATTATAATGATATCTAAGATAATAAAAAAAAACTGCAAAATTTTTGTAAAATTACTTACTCAGGGGCAGCAACCCAACAACGGGTTGTCGGATTCGTCTGAAAATTTCAGGGCAGATAAATCTATATCTGATGAACATTTTTGCCACCAGTCAGATTTGCTCTAAATGCTTGAGTTTCAGAGATATAAAACAAAAACTGCATTTTACCCCTATGTTCTATTTTTAACCAAGTCGGCCATGATGGTTGGAAGGCGGGGTCATCTGACAATTTTTTTAAACTAGATACCCTAATAATGATTATGGCCAAGTATGGTTAAATTTGTCTCAGTAGTTTCAGAGCAGAAGATTTTTGTAAAAGATTACAAAAATTTACAAAAAATTGTTAAAAATTGACTATTAAGGGCAATAACTCCTAAAGGGGTCGACTGACAATTTTGGTCATCACAACTTATTTGTAGATCTTACTTTGCTGAACATTATTGCTGTTTACAGTTTATCTCTATCCATCATAATATTCAAGATAATAACCGAAAACTGCAGAATTTCCTTAAAATTACCAATTCAGGGGCAGCAACCCAACAACAGGTTGTCAGATTTGTCTGAAAATTTCAGGGCAGATAGATCTTGACCTGATAATCAGTTTCACCCCATGTCAGATTTACTCTTAATGCTTTGGTTTCAGAGATATAAGCCAAAATCTACATTTTATCCCTATGTTCTATTTTTAGCCATGGCGGCCATCTTGGTTGGTTGGCGGGGTCATCGGACACATTTTTTAACTAGATACCCTAATGATGATTGTGGCCAAGTTTGGTTAACTTTGGCCCAGTAGTTTCAGAGGAGAAGATTTTTGAAAAAGCTAACGACGACGGACGACGACGACGACGACGACGATGACGACGACGCCGACGACGGACGCCAAGTGATGAGAAATTATTGTTACTTTCGAGACTGATTGCCGAAATTTAAGGTAATATCATTTTCATTGTAACCTGCAGTTAATTTTACCTGCAAAATATATTCAGACAGGCACTGATCTAAAAAATGTTTGATTTGCAAACAATTTGTGAAATCAATTTAAACAATTTAAATTATGACGTACAAAACATTAACATGATTAAATATCCAGTCATATTGACTAATATGATGTTCACTTTGCCATAGTGGGTTGATTTAAACAACTAGCTATTCTAAGTATGGATAAGAATGAGCAAGTATGTCCAATTTGCGGTCAGTGAAAAGTTTATATCCTTTCAAAATTTTAATGATAAATTTCAACAATTTCCAAGATGCAAATTTTTAGCAGTTATACAAAAGAACTTCTTGTTAAATTGGAGCACCGTCCAAAGCCAAAAAAGAAATCAGAAATAAAGATATAATCTATTCTGAATTCAAAAATACATGCATTCATGGTGGCAGAAATTTGAGAATAATCACATGATATAACTGAGGTAGATACTACATTAATCAAGATGACCCAAGAACATATCAATACTAGTACATGCATAAAATACTGTGAGAAGCTCGTACATTGGTAGTTGGTGCAATGACACGAAGACACTACAAAGAATCCTGATGCTAAACATAAAAAAGACATAATTTGGAAATGCAAAATTTTGCAGGTAACAATAAACAAGAGAGCACACATTGAAATGTTTTGCCTACAATACTGACCATTGATTTTATGTTGATAGTCCTACATATAAAGTTTTACTACAAGTATCACATTAACATTTATGATCCAAGAAAATGAGGTCAAGGTCAGATAAACCAAGCCAAAAATACATGTACACCTTTAATATAATCATTCCATACACAGAATATAGATGACCTATTGCTTATAGTATAAAAGAAACAGACCAAACCATGGAAATTCTATATTGACCAATGAAACATGAAAATGAAGTCAAGGTCAGATGAACCCTGCCAGACAGACATGTACACCTTAAAATCATTCCATGCATCAAATATAGTTGACCTATTGCTTACAGTACCTAAGAAACAAAGTTAACCAGGAAAACTGAACACTGACCAATGAACCATGAAAATGAAGTCAAGGTCAGATGATACCTGCCTGTCACACATATACACCTTACAATCATTCCATACACCAAATATAGTTGACCTATTGCTTAAAGTTTAAGAAAAACAGACCAAAAAACAAAAACTTAACATTGAGCAATGAACCGTGAAAATGAGATCAAGGTCAAATAAAACCTGCCAGATTGACATGTACATCGTAAAATATTTCCATACACCAAATATAGTTGACCTTTTGCATACAGTACTAGTATTAAAAAAAAAGACCAAAACACAAAAAATTAACATTGAGCAATGAACTGTGAAAATGAGATCAAGGTCAAATAAAACCTGCAAGATTGACATGTTCATTGTTAAATATTTCCATACACCAAATAAAGTTGACCTATTGCATACAGTATTAGAATAAAATGTTTCGCTGATTGCAGCCAGATACGACGGCAGAGGTCTAACCCTGAACAGTTGGGGCAAGTTTGGACACAATATTCAAGCTTGATACTGTCTGAATTTGGATTGTGATCAAATTTCTGACATAATATAGGTTTCTGTACAAAATAAATGTGGTCAAAGATCTTAAAAATTTGAAATGGGACATTTAATTTACCTAGTATGGTCTGATATCCAAAATCTAACATGGTTAGATTCAGCATATAAAAAAAAAACAAAAATTAATTTTAGTTGAAATCAAACAAAGTTTAATTATAGACCCTTCAAACCTTAATATGGACTAATTTGAAAACAGGGCCCAAAATAAAAATTCTAAATGCACAATAAGATTCAGCATATCATACAACCAGATAATTCAGTTTTTGATGAAATTAAACAAAGTTTAATTTTGGACCCTTTTGACCTCAATGTAGACCAATATCCCAAAAAGTAATACAAGGTTAGAACCCCCAAAAATTTATTTTCAATTGAAGATTTCTTGCTATTGTGCAATACTGTGCAATTTAAGATTTCTTGCTATTGTGCAATACTGTGCTATTGCGCAATACTGTGCAATTGAAGATTTCTTGCTATTGCGCAATACTGTGCTATTGCACAATACTTTGTTGTTGTGCAATACTATGCTATGGTGCAATACTGTGCAATTGAAGATTTCTTGCTATTGCGCAATACTGTGCAATTAGAGATTTTTTGCTATTGCGCAATACTGTGCTATTGATGATTTCTTGCTATTGCCCAATACAGTGCTATCGTGCAATTGAAGATTTCTTGCTATTGCGCAGTACTGTGCAATCATTTGAAATTTCAAAAATTTTGAAGAAAAAAATATGAACCCCCCAAAAAAATTGGAAATAAAAAATCCCCCCAAACTTTTCGAACCCCCTCCCCCTTGGAATAATTACCGCCAAATTAATCCCAGCCTTCCCTTTGTGGTATGGAACCTTGTAGTACAGTTTTAGAGAGATCCATACACTTAAACACAAGTTTCTGTCTGGAAACTAGAAAAATGCTTGTTTTTGGCCCCTTTTTTGCCCCTAATTCCTGAATCGTTGGAGCAATTACCCCCAAACTAAATCCCAGCCTTCCCTTTGTGATATGGAACCTTGTGGTACAATTTCTGAGAGATCTATACACTAACACACAAGTTATTGTCCGGAAACTACAAAAATGCTCCTTTTTTTTTTGCCCCTAATTCCTAAACTGTTGGTACCATAACCCCCAAAATCAATCCCAACCTTCCTTTTGTGGTATTGAACCTTCTGGTAAAATTTCTTAGAGATGCATTCACTTAAACTAAAGTCATTGTCCGAAAACCAAATGTGTCTTCGGACGCCCAGCCTCCAACGTCATAGCATTATATGACGCAAAAATTTTTTTGTGGTTGTATAAAAAACAGACCAAAACACAAAAACTTAACATTGAACAATGAACCGTGAAAATGAGATAAAGATCAAATAAAACCTGCCAGACTGACACGTACATCTTATAATATTTTCATACACCAAATATAGTTGACCTATTGCATACAGTATTAGAAAAACAGACCAAAACACAAAAACTAAACTATTACCACTGAACCATGAAAATGAGGTCAAGGTCAGATGACACCTGCCAGTCGGACATGTACACCTTACAATCATTACATACACCAAATATAGAAGACCTATTGCTTATAGTATCTGAGATATGGACTTGACCACGAAAACTTAACCTTGTTCACTGATCCATGAAATGAGGTTGAGGTAAAAAAAAAAATGTCTGACAGGTATGAGGACCTTGCAAGGTACGCACATACCAAATATGGTTATCCTATTACTCATAATAAGAGAGAAATTAACATTACAAAAAATCTTAACTTTTGTTTCAAGTAGTCACACTGAACCATGAAAATGAGGTCAAAGACAATGGACATATGACAGACGGAAACTTCATATCATAAGGCATCTATATACAAAGCATGAAGCATCCAGGTCTCCTACCTTCTGAATTATTAAGCTTTTAAGAAGTTAGTTAATGCCGCCGGATCACTATCCCTATGTTGAGCTTTCTGCGACAAAAGTGGCAGGCTCGACAAAAATGATAATTATTGTTACTTCCAATTTTGGTAAGAAATCAAGTGCCTGTCTGGAAATACATTTCGACAATTAATCGCAGAAATAACAATAAATATTTCTTATTGTTACATTTGCAGGTTATCGTAGCCAGTGTCTGTTTTAAAAAGTTTACAACAAAAGATGATGGACAACAGATGGCGACAATGGATGAAAAGTGATGTCAATAATTCACTTGGTACTTTGAACCAGGTGAACTAAAAATGACACAATTCTTCAAACAATTATTTTTTTTAATTCTCTGGAACTTCTAAATCTTCTGTTACTTCATTGTTAGTTTGTGAATTTTGTTCCTTATCATGTTCATGTTCATCCCAAATACTGCTAACAGTGGTCTGTATGAGTCTATTGATTGTTCTTTCGTCATAGTATGTTTCTGGTGCTCTATTTTCCCTATAATCACTTCTTTCCAGATGTTTACCTTTATCTATTCTTCTATCTATATATTTTCCTCTTTCTCTATCTTCACTAGTCTCTCTTTTTGAATCCCTTGATCTCTTCCTTCTTTTCTCTGATCTATCTTTACTCCTCTCCCCTGATCTATCTTGTCTTCTCTCACCAGATCTATCCCTACTTTTATCCCTTGATCTATTATCTCCAATTCTATCTCTTGATCCATCACTGCTTCTTGTTCTATCTCTGTCTCTATTACTTCCCCTTCTTTCCCCTGCAGTCTCTCTTGATTGTTTTGTTTGATGTGGACTTGTCTCCCAAGCTTGACTACTTTTGGTATATCTACTGTATTGTTTGTCTCTTTCCCTAGATCTGTCTCTAGTCTGATGTCTTTCTCTGTCTATGGACCTGTCCCTAGTCTGATGTCTTTCTCTGTCTATGGACCTGTCTCTAGTCTGATGTCTTTCTCTGTCTATGGATCTGTCTCTAGTCTGATGTCTTTCTCTGTCTATGGACCTGTCCCTATTTTGCCTTCTATCTCTATCTTTAACATTTTTTTCAGATGACTTAAAAATATTTAAGTTCACATAATATTGTTTATTTGATCGATCAGAGCGTACCCTGTTTGTGCCTCTATAATTCTCGTGACCGTCTGCACCATGCTCACTACTTTTATCATCCCATGCATTCTCATGATGTTCATCATTAACATTTTTAAGAGCTATCATTTTATTATAAATAGGTTTTCGAAATGGTCTATCTCTGCCCCCAAATCTTAATTGTCCAGATTCTTTTTTCCCACCAAAACCTCCCCCAAGTCTTCTTGGTACCCATCCTTTGAGTACTCGCTCACATTCATAATCAACAAAAACTTCACAACCATCAATTTCTTGCTTATGTCCTCTCCAAACAGCATCCTCAGCCTCCTTATGATCATAATATTCTACAAAAGCATAACATCTAGAATATCCTGTTATAATATCACGGACTAATCTAAATTGCTTGATGATTCCATATCCTGAAAAAACTTTTTCTATTGTTGTTTCATTTGTTTTGGGATTAAGCCGAGCAATGAATATTGTTTTCTCCGGATCACCTACTACATCTTTTTTATTCGGTTTGTATTTAGCTGCCATTGCTCTGATGATACCGTGGTCATGTGGTTCTGTATCTGTAGCATCAATACTTCCCGCTTTTAGCGGATCATAGACTTTTGCTATTGCAGACCAGTTATCCATTATTTTTTTTTAAACTGTAAGCTGTAAATACCTGTAAAAAAAGTCAAATAGATTTAGTTTTTCAATTAATTTACCTAAAGACTACTATAAAATAAAAATATGCACCTGCAAAGGTTATAGGCACTGAATTCTAATAAGCGATCAGTATTTTAATGTCTGACTTTAGTTCATCTAAGGGAGCTACCATTTGATTTTTATGGGGGGGGGGGGGGGCTAGGATGAAATTTGAAAAAAATAGGCAGGACAGGAGTTTTGAGTAAAAAAAAAGGCAGGATGAGATTATTTGCAAAAAAAAAAAGGCAGGATGACAATTTATGTAAAAAAAAAAAGTCAGGATAAACTAAAAAATAAAGGCAGGACCGAATAGAGTGAAAAATAAAGAGCAGGACCGAATATATGGAAAAATAAAAAGGCAGGACAAAATTTTTCATCCTAGCCCCCCCATAAAAATCAAATGGTAGCTCCCTAACCATCAAAATCCTTAGAATATGCAAACTCTATGAATGTAGATAAGAATTCTCCAACAATGTCCAATAATAAAAACATTCACATTTTAGTCTTAGACACATGATTTTTTGGTACAAAAATTTGTGAGCTAATTAATAACTGCTTTCTAAATTCCAAAATTTATAGGAAAACATACACTGATATAAGATTGCACATGAAACAACTCTCCACCAGAGACCAAATGACATATAAGTTAATAACTATAGGTCACTGTAGGGCCTTCAACAATGAGCAAACCTCATTCTGCATAGTCAGCTATATAAGACCCGAAATGACAAATGTAAAACATCTAATGGCCAGATTTGTGTACAAAACAATGAAGCAAGCGACAACTGCCGAATCAAAGGCTACTGACTTTGGGACAGGCACATACAGAATGTTGCAGTGTTAAACATGTTTGCTGGTGCCATGCCAAACCCTCCCTCTAACCTGGGACAGTTCTGTAACAGTACAAAACAAGAACAAACTTTATTCAAAGTGCTTGTGAGCACTGAAAGGTAAAGATGGCTTCTATTTTACAATTTTGTGAATTTTTATATAAAAAAATTCGTAAGGGTTCCGAGGAACCCAGTGTCTCGCCTACTTTTGCTGTTAATCGCAGGCTCAACAAAAATGAGGAAAAAAATTAATAAAAATATTCCTCTCTATACTATCTTTTGATTGTAAGTAGCTTCTGTCCAAGTTTGATAAAAATCCAGGATAGTTTATGAATCTAATAAATGTTTTAAAAACTTAAACTGCAGACTGTATGTAATGTTAACTGGAAGAAAAACTAAGTCCATTTATAAGTAAAATACGGAAAAAATGGAACAAAATTTCCATGTAGATACTAGCTTTTAATCATAAACAAGCTTCTGTCCAAGTTTGGTACAAATCCAGGATAGTTTAAGAAAGTTGTTAAAATTTTAAAAACTTTAACCACAGAGTGAATGTAATGTTAACTGGCAGAAAAACTAAGTCCTTTTATAAGTCAAATACGGAAAAAATAGAATTTTTATTATACAAAATTTCCTTCTGGATACTATCTTATGATCATAAACAAGCTTCTTTCCAAGTTTGGTAGAAATCCAGGATAGTTTAAGAAAGTTATTAAAATTCCAAAAACTTTAACCACAGAGTGAATGTAATGTTTCCTGGCAGAAAAACTAAATCCATTTATAAGTAAAATACGGAAAAAATGAAATTTTTTTTTTACAAAATTTACTTCTGGATACTATCTTATGATCATAAACCAGCTTCTTTCCAAGTTTGGTAGAAATCCAGGATAGTTTAAGAAAGTTATTAAAATTTCAAAAACTTTAACCACAGAGTGAATGTAATGTTTCCTGGCAGAAAAACTAAGTCCATTTATAAGTAAAATACGGAAAAAATGGATTTTTTTTTTACAAAATTTACTTTTGAATATTATCTTATGATCATAAACAAGCTTCTGTCCAAGTTTGGTAGAAATCCAGAATAGTTTAAGAAAGTTATTAAAATTTCAAAAACTTTAACCACAGAGTGAATATTTGTGGACGCCGCCGACGGAATGTAGGATCGCTATGTCTCGCTTTTTCGACAAAAGTCGAAGGCTCGACAAAAATGATTTTGCTAGGCAAATTAAAAATTTAAGTTAAAGTTATCTTCCTTCGTTCATGATTGTAAATTTGTAGTTGAACCTATTTTTATAACAGATTCATACACCATACATTACTTATGTGATTCTCAATAATTTAATTTTGGATGTAACACATCTTCTGATTGGCTGAAAGTTTTTTGTCTATCAGCTCAAAGACATAATTTTGTCATGTGACTGTGTTAACATCAACGATTTTTCATGATTTACTCCTTAAAAATGGAATTTAGAATTAAATTATAAGGACTGACTATAATTTTTTTTCTGTCTTTTTGAAATATATGTAACCTCAAAAATGTGGTGCACACTTTTAAATAACCTGCTACACGGTTTATTCAGTGTGACCACATTTTTGATGTTATTTCTTTATAGGCAGAAAATATTACAGTCATTCCTTAATAATATTAGTGTGTTACATTTCATTATATCATGTCTGTAAATATTGAAACTATTAAACTAAGATTATAAATGCTTCCAGGACAAACTGAAGAACAAAGTCTTTTAAATAAATTCTTTAATATACATGTACAACTTGTTTTTCTCAAGCTTGTATTTGAAATATAATTTTCCCTTGTAAATATTTTTTTAAATATGGGCCAGATCAAATTGGGGCAGGATCGACAGGTGTTTTATATCTATCTTTCAAAGTTTAGTCAAGTTTCAGGGATACTGAGAATTTACTTGTTCTGAGAATGAACCGTACAAAAACTAGGGAGGTTTATTGTTTTTAACCAAACTGACTGATTGTTTTCTCCCTTTGTTTGTACCTTTTTTCAATAGACAGTCTTTCTTCCAGTTCAAATAATTATGATGTCTTGAAAGGGTTTTTTTTTTTTCTGTGATGTCTTCCTATGGGGTTATTTTTTTTCTGTGTTAGACAACCGTAGGAAGGCGTCATAGCAAAACATTCAAATAGCCTTTCATGATGTCATAATTATTTGGACTATCTTTCGTTATACATTTTGATTCCTATATATTATGCTTTAATATTAGTAAATGTCAATTTTTAGTTTCGAATGCTTAGTTCTGCTTTTTATTTTTGTTTCTCATTTTAGCACAACCCAGCAGGGTAAAGTACCACGAGAAATTACCATGAGCAACGGTATACCATAACATGATAAGAGAGACAAGTTGTTAAGTTGTCAATTTTGACCTTAAGGAGTGGGATCAGGTTGCACACTTCCCCTAGAAATTGACTTATGGTTTAGCAAAGAAGTACTGACAAAATAATATGATCTAAGACTAAGGGGATCCTGCTTAGGGGAGGTTCAGGCAAACATAATTAAGCAAGTGGGTACCAGTTCAGCCAATTCAGGAAATTAGTTTTTGCGTCTACAAATTTGTATATCAAATTAACAAAATAACAGATGTTTTAAAGATGCATAAAAACATAATTTCAAGGGTTGATCTAATTACCTTTCAAATTTAGATAATTTTCCTGACAATAATCTGAATTTAAGATAGTTTGCTAGGAAATATTATGTTTTTCCAAAGTAACCAGTCGTATGTGCCATTTGCGGTTGTCGTTTTTTTTTCTCAAAAAGAAACTAAGTTAGTTATTTAGTTGCATTTTTAAAATTTCGATAACATATTATATATGAGACATGAATCATGTAATCAGCGGTCTATTTTAATTTAGTTAGATAATAATTCTTTTCACTCAACATGCACCGTAAGTCGTATGTCGTAAAGGACATTCAGAAGTGAAAGTTGGTAATTTTTCCGTATTTTCATTTGCAATTTAGTTTGGCTAACTGTCACTTAAACATTCCAGTTTCAAAGAAAGTAAGTAGAAGATGGTAAAATTAGGAAAGTTACAAGAATTTAACTGTAGATAGATAGTTGTTACGGATTTGGTCATTTGCTGTATGCATATATATGTTTGACCTTTTTGTAAGACAACGTGAAGTCGTTTACCAAACGGTATAAAACACAGGCTCTTAGGTACAGGATTTTCTATATTCATACCACACACTTAACATTACTATGCTTGTCTTACCACATCTTCTTATTTCTATTGTCATACCTGGTTTTGGATGAATTTATCAATTCTGCTTCAATTTTGTTGTATACTATAATATTATATTTGAGATAATAAAGATAGTCTAACCCGTTGAGTTAGGAAAGATCTTCTTTGGCTCAGTCAGTTAAAGCTCTACCTTTAGATCCAGAGGTTGTTGGTTCGAATCCCGCTGGTAAATACATATATTTTCACAATATAAATTAATCAATTTCACTGAGAGCAACTACTACTCGCATGTGGCCTGAGAATACAGTTGTTTCGTAGTGCATTTCTTTTAGACAATAAATGAAAATAAAAAAAATCACACCAGCGCTTTCTCAATAATATTTTTACAGTGTGGTGTACTGCTTTTGGGACAATCAAAATTATGGAAAACTTCATCAGCTCTAACAAAAAATATGGACTATTTTATGTTAAAATTCTTTTGACAGCTTCAGACATGCTAATTTTTAACCATTTTCAGTCGGACCAAATCACTGCTTTGATATACATGACCCATATTTTCTTACAGTGTAATTTCATCCTATGCAGAACGCGACGTCCATACTGCCACGTCGTCCAGAGCATGTATCATCCATACCTTGAAAAGATGTATTGGCCATACTTTGTGAAGATGTGTCGTCCATATTTTTTTCAGAAATAAATTTTTATTTATAAAATATATTATATGGTTATTATAACTTGTAAATATATTATGCTGTATCTACATTATTTGTCATGTTTTTATATGTTATACACTTGGAATACGCATTATATATATATCATACAGGGGCGGATCCATGATTTTGGAAAGGGGGGGCGAAGTTTGTAAAAATCGCTGAGGGGAGCAAGGTGACAATTTTTTTGACCTTTTTTTGGCTAAAAAACATAAAATAAGTGTAAAATGCACTTTTTTAACGGTTCCTGACGTAAGGCATGTATATTTTATAGTTGAAGTGTAAGGGTTGGAAAATTTTTCGGACCTTTTTTGGCTAAAAAACATAAAATAAGTGTAAAATGCACTTTTTTAACGGTTCCTGACGTAAGGCATGTATATTTTATAGTTGAAGTGTAAGGGTTGGAAAATTTTTTGGACCTTATTTGGCTAAAAAACATAAAATAAGTGTAAAATGCACTTTTTTAACGGTTCCTGACATAAGGCATGTATATTTTATAGTTGAAGTGTAAGGGTTGGACATTTTTGATGCCGTATTCTCCCCATTAATTGTCTATTATAAAATGATTGGATGGATTCAAAGCTATGTACTAATATATTTGATGTGGGACTTGTCAGTAAAAAATTGACATGGAAAATTCTCGTTTGTTGTATGTTTAGTTAGCATAACGTCACGGATTTCTTGTTGTAAACAAGATATATGCCGGGCTATTATAGCTATTCAATGAAATTTACAATACGACCGACACGAGTTAAGAAAGACCATGAAGACAAACAAGCAATTTTTATCCAAATGTTTGGTTGAAATGTTTCACCCAACAAGGGAAGTGAGGGGTTTCAAATCAACCAAAGGCTACGAATGAGTCTGAAATGACAACGAATATATGAATGACGGTCGACAAATGGAGACATAAAGGCCACACCCAGCAGGCAGGTTGCAGTCGGGCCTTGAAAAAGTATTCATTTTATCAGTTCGACGAAACAGACATTCCGGTCAGATATGGGATTTACATGCAAACCCCCGGCCCCAAAAAAAATTATGCCCGTTTTTTTTTCTTAATGTCATTTAATGCTAAATAATTCTGTTGGAAATTTATGTTTCTAATAGCAAAAAAGTGGACAAGATTATTGTTTTTAATCCAGATACGGCCAGAATTTTTGTTTAAGGCAAAAATCAGGGTCAGAATTTTTTCTCTCAAACATCTCAGACTACCCCCTCAAATCAAATGGTCTGTACCTTAGACTTTAAATCTATCTAGAGCTTATTGACTGGGGATCATTATTCAGCTATGTTATTAATAGGCTGGGGCGTGTTGGGTTAAACATGTTTTCGTAGGTAAATAATATTGCTGTGGAACTTTTTTTTCATGAAAGTGTAATAGAGTATTACTTTCTGTTCGGTGGAATTTTGAAATAGAAGTCAATAAAAACGTTCTTGCTCAATCCTTTGTCGCTTTGAAGGTGTCATGCTTGTCATCCTCAGCCAAAGCAATATGAGTTACTGTAATTTGAATTTAAAAATGACTGAGTGACGTTTTTTCGACGCACTGGTCAACTCCACCGTAGCGAATCACATGATTTTGACATAATCAATAATATATTACAGTAAATACGAGCGAAACATATCTTTGTAAGTAAAGAATTGTCGCATAAAAATTAAATACGCGGAAAATGGCAAAGTTCACAAAGTCTAGCATGTCTAGTCTGATTAATCATTTTACAAAAAAAAAAAAAAAAAAAAAGTGCAAGCAAAGGGGGGGGGGGGGGGCGCACGCCCTCTATGCCCCCCTCTGGATCTGCCACTGTCATATATAAATGTGCTTTATCTAATAACATATTTATTATCTTGCGTAAAACAAACTGAAAAAAATAAAACAAATAAAATTGAATATCCAAAATGGGAGATTCGTTTCTGTCATAGTTAAAACAATAAGTTTAGTTTTGAAATATAAAACTAAGTAATTAGATAATGATTTAATTAAAATTTAAGAAAATTGTTAATTGCTTATTATCATTTCTTTGATGATCATAAGTATTAATTATGCTTTTGTCAAGAAATTGAAGAGGAAATACAAAACAAGATCACTATAAAAACAACAGCACCCTAGCTGAGTTCAAGCAGATACAAAAATACAGTTGGGTAGTGAAATTCTTGTAACAATACAAGCTGTTTGAGCAGTCTTTTTGAAGTACCGACTACATGTATGCAGCAGTTTAGTTTCTACTCTCTGTTGAAAAGCTGTAAATCAATTTTTCAAATTCATAGTAGGGATAAATTATCAATAGGATTGTCTTAAAACCAGTCTTCTATGAGTCTACTTGTCTTGTTGAACAGCAGATGTGTAGAGTAAAAATAAATATATAGTCTAGATCTATACTGACTCTTTCAAACCGGCAAACTTGTACATAAACAATACTACAAAATCATATTTATGTTATAACTACAATGGAATAAATATTTAAAAGTATGGATGATAGGTCTTTACAGGGTATGGACGATACGGCCTATGGCCGATGTGGCAGTATGAACGACATGGAAGTATGGCCGCCGGGTCTTGAAAGCATTTCATCTCCCTACTTGCTATTTGAGGCATCAATAAAAAAAAAAGAAATAAATTTGGAAGGGGTATGAAAAATATTGCAATTAGTACACCGTCCACACTAAAATCAAAGGACGATAACTGTGTTCCCAGACCATGTATACAAGTGTGAGTACCTAGCAGGTACGTGTAAATAGATAGGGTCATGAAGTATGACCATGACATTAAGGATGACAGTGACATGTCTGGGGGACAGGAAAGGAACAAGACAGAATGTTTTAGAGTTATAGAGTAGGGAGTTGTCCAGTATTGGTCCTGTGAACTGCTCGGATGGATGTAATATCAAATAATGCACAGTGCATTGAAGTTAAGTAAGATTTTTTTTAGCTCAGTTGGTAAGAGTGCTGCCTTTAAATCACACGGTTGCAGGTTGAAATCCTGCTGGTACCATACATTTATTCTCACAATAATGGTGCTACATGTTTATGTAAACTTGATGTTTTTCTGCTTTGTATCGATCTGATGAGATAAGATGCCCTTTTCAACTGATTTTTATACGACCGCAAACAAATTTTTGTGGTCGTATATTGGTATGACATTGGCATCGTCGTCGTCGTCGTCCGGTGTCGTCGTCCGAAGACACATTAGTTTTCGCACTCTAACTTTAGTTTAAGTGAATGGATCTCAATGAAATTTTACCATAAGGTTCAATACCACAAAAGGAAGGTGGGGATTGATTTTGGGGGTAATTAGGGGCCAAAAGGGACCAAAAATAAGCATTTTTGTAACTTCCAGACATAACTTGTGTGTTAGTGTATGGATCTCTCTGACATTGTACCACAAGGTTCCATATCACAAAGGGAATGCTGGGATTGATTTTGGGGGTAATTGCCTCAAAATTTTAGGAATTAGGGGCCAAAAAAGGGGCAAAAAACAAGCATTTTTATATGGACAAATACTTTAGTACAAAACATAATTTAAAGCAGTGTAAGGGAGATAAATCAAATTCATCATTAGAATTACCTCCTTTACACTGCTTTTAAATTATGTATAAAGTAATGGTTAATGAACAATTTAGACAATTTAAAACAGTGTAAGGGAGGTAATCCACGTACAACGTTTAGATTACTTCCCTTACACTGCTTTTAAATTATGTTTAAAGAAATGCATATTTATAAAGGAAGACCAGTAAAAATATCTGCAAATGTTGCATCTTTTTTTTTTTACAAAAAAATCCATATGAAAGATTTGACACCATATTTTAAATTCTATTATAAAATAGATTAAGATAGCACTATGGTAAATTTAAATGGGTAATTATGGTTGCAAATTCCATTGGAAATTTGAATTGAGATTATGACCATATCTTGAGGGAAAGAATTTTTTGGGGGAAAAGGCGAGGGGGGGGGGGGGAGGGGTAAAAAGAAATTGTGGGGGTCAATTTTTTCTCATTTCAGATTTCAAAAATTAAAAAGAATTATTCTTCAAATATTTTTTTTTTTTTCAAAATTTCAAGAAGTAATCTTTAATTGCACAGTATGGCGCATTAGATTTGTAAAATCTTTGA